GTAGTAGTAGTAGTAGTAGTAGTAGTAGTAGTAGTAGTAGTAGTAGTAGTAGTAGTAGTAGTAGTAGTAGTAGTAGTAGTAGTAGTAGTAGTAGTAGTAGTAGTAGAGTAGAGTAGTAGAGTAGTAGTATAGTAGTAGTAGTAGTAGTAGAGAGAGAGAGAGAGAGAGAGAGAGAGATATATATATATATAGAGAGAGAGAGAGATGAGTAGTCAGTGGCTCGTGGGTAGTATGTACGCTTGCATGCGATGTGTATGATAGGCTGGGAAAGCGTTTACAACGCATTGCGATTCACAGTACGTTGTTCTAGTACACTGCGGTTGTTGTTGGACCTTTTACTGGCCGGGGTTCTGAGCTTACTGAGCGATACATACTGAAATAAAGAGAGAGCCTGTGAGTAGGTAAGTAGGCTATAAATAGGTAACTTGCAGGCAGCCTACTAGAATAGGCCGAGAAACAGTAGGTATATGTGACTAGCTAGCAAGAGGCATGCTGGGATACGGACCAAGAGGACGATAGATGTATAGGAGGTGTATACGGGCCGATGTTGAAGAATAAAACCAGCAGACTCAGAGTCCTCTGAGCAGACATACACTCTGGTCTAAACCGTAATATACATAGCCATATATAAGGCTAATGCAATACTCTGGTCTAAACCGTAATATAAATAGCCATATATACGGCTAATGCAACACCTTGGTATAAGCCGTAATATGCATGGCCATATATAAGGTTAATGCACGCGTTTGACGCCACAGTCAGTGTTGATGTGAGGAGGTTATCCGTAGCAAGGGCCGTTATGAAGAAGGGATGCGTAGTACAAGGCTATGATTCGTTTGCACGCATGTAGCCCAATACTCATTCCTATACCTTTCCGCCGGGAATACGTAAAATATTGTTACGTGTGAATGTGTACATAATACACACTCTAGGTGCTACAGTCAGTGCCGAGGTGGGGAGTGAGCCTGAAGGAAGGTCCGGTATGAGGAAGCCATGCACAAACACTACGAAGCTTTGGTAAGGCCATACTACTGTAGCAGGGCTGGTGATGAAGAACGGATGCACCAGTATAGTACTTCAATGCACGGGACGATAGCTATATATATACCCACACATACACTCTAACATGGTGATAAATAAACTATGTACTCATGTACATAGCTAATCCACACATACACTCCCAACATAGTAACAAATAAACTATGTACATATATACATATGTAAACCACACCTTTGGCGCTACAGTCAGTGCCGATATGGGGAGGGTGTCGGTTGTTGGGCCGGTGATGAAGAAAGGGTGTACGAGAATAGCCTCCAACGTTGGCCGTTGCTCAGGGTCTGAGTTTAGAATGCTCGTGATCAAATCTGTGGCGGACTACCACAAATAAACAGAGGACAAGGAAGACATTGGTAGGAGTAAGCATGTGAGTTAATCATTTGTGATGCACTTATATACATACATACATACAAAAATACATGCATATATATATGTATGTATCTGTATATATATATATATATATATATGTATATATATAAATATTTAGATATATTGCCGTCGACTGTTTCATTGCACCAATTCTATCGGTACAAATCAGTATAAAATAGCTTAAAGTGTCTCCGCAGGCAAGACTGCATAGACTGACTTCACTAGTGCAAAATGGTTCCAGAATAGCAAACCTCACTACCTACAAGACACACAGGCTCCAGTATGGTGCCCACCTGTGGCATAAGTACAATCTATCCTGTTTCTGATATCAGAATCAGACATATACATTAACGAATACCACCTCACACATCGGCTCTACTGCTATCGGGAGGTCACATGTTAAGAACTGTCAACATATGTGTAAACATGGGGCATGCACATCACAGTCGCTTACAACCGCTATCGCACATGCAATTACCGTACAGCTCTGTATAAAATTCATCAAAAATGGGGCACACACAGACAGACAGTTATATATATATATATATATATATACATACATACATACATACATACACATATACATACTATATATATATATATACACATATACATCTAAGATTCCCTTCGGTGCGTGGCACTCACCTCAGAGAGATTCATTTCCGATGGGATGGAATAGCTATTTGACTTGATGAGCTTGCAGGTTTTCTTGACGTTGCTCGACTCGAAGGGGGGGTAGCCCACCAGCAGCGTGTATCTAAAATAATTGTCATACACTCAGGTGAGGATTAATGTATGTACAAACGGTGCACATACACCATATATGTCAAAGCATATCTATCGGTGAGTACATGCGTGTACCATACGTTCTACGGTAGGTAGTTATAAGTGGGCGGAATTGGGATATAAATAAGCCTACCTGAGACAGTGCTACGTAATACATATATGATGACAACTATAAATTTGTACAAACTATACACTCGCCTTGCAGTAACCAAGGAGGTCAAAACAGGATGGGGAGTTTACAATCAGTTCTCACACCAACTATATCCGGAACCCACCCGATTCCAAATATTAAAAATCCTATTCTAAAATAGGATTCAGTATGCCACCAAAAGACAAAACAAACGAAACCAAGGCAAGACAAACCAGAGCAAAGCAAACCAATCAAACGAAAACAAAGCAAACCAATCAAACGAAAACAAAAACCAAACCAAGGCAAAACAAAACAAGACATAACCAAACGAAACCAAGACAAGACAAACCAAACCAAGACTAGACAAGACAAGACCTTGTCTTGTAAAAACCCTAAAACAAACCAAGATAAAACAAAACAAGTCAAGACATAACGAAACGAAACCAAGGCAAGACAAACCAAATCAAATCAAACCAAGATAAAACAAAACAAGTCAAGACATAACCAAACGAAACGAAACGAAACGAAACGAAACGAAACGAAACAGAACCAAGGCAAGACAAAGCAAACCAAGGCAAGACAAAGCAAGCCAATTCAAAGCAAACCAGAATAAAACAAAATAAACCAAACAGAAGAAGGGTTCAATGTGTAGCCCATGGTGGCAGTGACTAGCACGTGCGTGTGCACTCACTTACAGGATCACCCCCATGGACCAAATATACACTAAATCAAAAAAAAACAAACCAAGCCAAGCCAAAATAGAACAGAACAAACCAAACCAAACCAAAAAAAACAGAACAAAATAAAAAAAACAGAAGAAGGGTTCAATGTGTTACCCATGGTAGCAATGACTAGCACGCGTGTGTGCACTTACAGGATCACCCCCATGGACCAAATATACACTGAATCAAACCAAACCAAACCAAACCAAACCAAAATATAACAAAAACAAAACAAACAGAAGAAGGGTTCAATGTGTAGCCCATGGTAGCAGTGACTAGCACGTGTGTGCACTTACAGGATCACCCCCATGGACCAAGTATCCACTTCGTAGCCGTGTCCGCGTTTGTCCAGTATCTCAGGCGCGATGTAATTGGGGGTGCCACAGAGCGTCCTGGAGAGAATAGAGTTGGGGATGAGGAGATAGTCGGTGGGTGTGAGTGTGACTGTCAGTGATTCAACAACCCCTTTGGAGATGACATACTTATTATTTTGATCATATTAGACATGTTCAAAACAGTCCCATCCCGATTTCTACAACGGCAACGGCCTCCTCTCGATATTCCCAAAAGCTTTCTTCGGTTCATTCATATATACATATTTATAAACACATATATACACATACATAATATATATATATATATATTTCAATGAGTTTAATACTATGAGATACATATCACAACAATTGGGGGCGATCTACAGAGGAAAAAAGCGGATTGGTGGGATACGATAGTGACTAACAGTGACTCATTAAATAGCAGACGTCAACGGAACAACCAGTACCCAAGGGATATATATCAGAATAAATATCCACTCGTAAAACAATACAAGACACATATAGAACAGCCAGGCTACATACTGCCGCCGCTCGCCGTCATCACATTTCGCAGCCAATCCGAAATCGCCGATTTTGATCTTCATGTCACCCGAGAGAAAGAGATTACCCAGCTTAAGGTCACGGTGGATGATATTCTTCGCTTGTAGATACTGTATAGGGGCGTAAGCCGATGTGCGGATGTGTTAGAATACACACACACACACACACACACGTATACACATACACACACACACACACACACACGTATACACATACACACACACACGCGCGTACACATGCGCCTATTTATCTACATGCGATGGTATTAATAGACAGCAGACTACTGAGCTCTGTAGGTAGACGCATGCGACATCGGTTGATATTGGAACTGTCTGGCTCTGTATCACACTCACCTGTAACGCAGCTAGCATCTGCAGCATATAGTACTTGACCTCAAAATCCTGCAGGCGTTTGCGGGTCTTCAGCAGCTCCAAAAGAGTTTTGTTTGAACAGAGTTCGAGTACAATATATACGCATTCGTTATCCTCGAAGAAGTGTTCATACTGCACAATGTTCGTATGGCGCAGTTTCTTGTGGATATTGATCTCAGAGACCACCTGTATATTCAGGAAAATTAAAACGGACAGCAATAGGGAAAGGAATGAATTGGGGATGTATCAAATATGGTATATTTGAAATGAGAGAAAACTTCAAAGTGTATATAAAATCAAATATTAGCATCAAACTACGACACTATATATATATAGATACATACATATACATACACACACACACACACATATATATATATATATACATACATATATACACACACATATATATACATACATACATACATATATATAAATATAAATATAAATATATACATAGATATACAACTATATATATATATACAACTATATATATATATATATACACATAGATATACAACTATATATATATACACAACTATATATATATATATATATATAAATATATTTATATATATACACACATATACACAAACATACTTATATTTGTATTTACATATATATGTATATATATATTTATAAGAGTAAATATCTAAGCAAAAATGTATATAAATATATAAGCATATATATATATATATATATATCCTATATAGACACGTACCTATATATATATATATATATACATATAAAGACACACACACATATATATATGTATACGTATATACATATATACATATATCCATATATATATGCACGCATACATAGTATATACACACATATATATAGATCTATATATATATATATATATGTATATATATATCCATACATACATATAGATATAGACATAGATATACATACACACACACACACACACACACATATATTTATATATATGCATTTATAAATTTATAACTTCTACTGACTCTTGCGACAGTTCATAATCCCAAAATTTGTAAAGTTTCAGTGTATCGAACATGCTTCAAATTGGAATAACACCGCACATACACAATATATTCACTTCAAACACTGAGGTAGACACATAATATACGCGCACTGATACACTTACACATACACACACACACACACACGCACACACATACACACATAAACACACACACACATATATATAAATATATATACACACACACACATATATATATCCATCTATACATATATATATACATATATATGTATACATATATATATATAGAGAGAGATATATATATATATAGCAGATCACATATTACCGGTCCGCTGCTGTCGAGGAGGATGTGTGTGGTTTGACTGGTGGTTTTGATTGCCGCTAGAAAGCTGTGCACATCATAACACAGATAATATATATATTAATATATATATATATATATATGACTCAGTTTATATGTAACTTTGTGGGTTACCCAGATACTTCCATACCTTAGCCCACGTGCGTGGCTCCGCAACAGATGCTTTTCTTATCTCCTTACACGCTAACACCCTACCCGTCTCAACGTCCGTGATCTCATACACACGTGCAAATCCACCTTTGCCCAAGAACTTGCCCTTCCTATATCGGTGCTTGTCATTCCCAATAATCTCGGACGATTCAGTATCTACATTCTCCCTATTAGTTTTAGTGCTTCGATCGTACACGTTGTTGTGTCCGTCAGAAGCAGCGACGGCTGAACTCATATTGATGGCTATTCAAAGAAACTATATAAGCAGTCTCTATATAGTCAACCCGCCTTAGAAGGTGTTCTTTTGCCGCAGTCTACGTCAATGTATAGATATGTAATATAAATATACAAATGAAGGAGAACCTGATCTCTCGTCCTTGCTTACTCTTAGATTAGATGGATATTGTTCGATATACAGCATGCACTCAACCCGACAAAAGTATAGCAACAGCAACAGTGATATAACGACGCTTGCTTGTATTGGTGGTTCTAAGTTATGCCAGTACTCACCACTCCACAGCGTCCGTTATTTACTGAGAGTCCTGCACGTTACACGCAACAAAAGCATGCACACAAGGCTTATAGTTGAACAACTAGCAACCTATTTGAAAATATCTATACGTATATAATATATATTGTAAATATATATATATACGAAGCTAAAAATATATATGCATACATTCATACTATATACGGCCTTTAGATATCTATTCGCTCTCTATTTTTTTGGAATGAAAGTACATAGTGTAATAGGCAGCCCGTTGGCTTTCTCAGAGTTGAGCGGGAGATCGTAGTTACTTTTACCGATAAAATTAGACCCCTAAAAAGACCCATAAGAAGACCACCACTGCAATATATAAATCTATTTTAAGCCAGCCAGTGCAGTATGAGAAGATGAAATTGGTATAAAACACATATCAACAGAAAATCTTCATTTCAATGGTGTGTCGTAAACAAGCTTATAGATCGCCTGGAAGATTGCCAATTCAGCGATAGTTTACAACATACTATATATTTAATACATAATAGTGTCCTGTGGTTTGTTGTTTATTAAATCATCTTCGGTTATTTTTTTTACATATTTTCAATAACGGCTGTGTCAGTCATTGACCGAGCGAGTGTGCACGAAGAAGAGAAGAAGAGTATAAAAAAAATATGAAGCGATAATGAAACCCAACCCGCGAGGTTTTCAAACTTTCATAAAAGTCAATCACTAACGTCTTCGTTTAGGGTTATTTGCACTGTGTTAGGTCTTGTTTTGTCTTGTCTTGTCTACCGTTGTGCACCCTAAAGCTAGCTACGCTAAACTTGCACACAGCTGTTACAGGCACCTTCGGTATACGTACATAGCCGTCTCTCTCGCGTGTATAATACAGTGGATGCAATCGGTATTGGATGTATGTATTATGTATTAAACATACAGCTTGTGGGGGCTTAAAAGCAGTCCGGACACAGAGTTTACCAAATTAGGAATATTCACCGCATGCATCACATCTAAAGTCCCTAGTAATACGAAGCCACAGACCCGAAGTGACTTCGTTAATCATCTCTACATCTCAGGCTAAACGACTATCATGTACTGTTGATAGTAGTGTCGCATCTCGTAAAACCTCATAGTCCTAGTCCTTACACACCCAGAAACACAGAAGGGTCTCCATAGAACCAGCAATAACCACTACCCCATACACACAGTATATACCAACTCGACAATGGCACGAATCGTTCGAGATATGACCTGTGTAGTGTGCGGGAACGCAGCTAGCCCGGAATACACGGTCTCGGATGAGGCCAACAACGACCAACCCTTCTGTTCCACAGACTGTCAAGTGAGTTAATGCACTGCTTCGAGTAATTTGGTGGAGTGAGCTGTGACTCTGTGACTTGTATGTGCCAGCATGTCTCGCATATACTACACCTACCAGTGTGTGACGAGCGAGTCTAGGTACCTCTACCTTATGCGGCCAACGGACATGCACAGTAGTGAACAAAAGAAACTCAAGTTTAACTGATAACACGTTTGCAACTGTACCGTTTTTCTGCTCGATCATCAGTGGGCGCTACACCCTGCTCACGAATGACACACCAGTGTACAAGTAGACCAACAGTACACTACACATATCCCGTAATACTTGGGCCTCAGCCACTGAGCGAGTGAGTCACAAAGTGTCTGAGCAGCCACCCTGGGCACAACGTATAACTGTCTCCATTTAGCTGTTATTTTTTGGCGTCCTGCGTATGTAGTGCATTTGTATCGCCAATATCTTCTATGCTTCAGTCGGCGGGCGTGCTGCCTGTCCGGCCTCGACATCTATCTTGTGAACTCACATAACCGTTGTTTGGGTCGTCTGGTTTGTAGTTAGTTCCTGTTTAGTACCGTTAGCACTCTGTGCGCGACTCTTTCTCATCACTTGCATCGAACAAGTTTGACAACTTGGCTTCAGATCAGCTTGGACTCAAGCAATCACCCCCCACCCCACCTACGCCACGTTGTAGAGTGTTTCTATGTTCTCCTCAATGCCTGAACACGTTGCGTATATATATATATATACACACACACACACACATATATATATATATATAAATCGGCCATCCCTGCACTTCCCCCCCATCCAACGTTCCCGGTGCGTCTTCCCATCGTCCGCCTCTCATCCGCTGTACGCCTACCCTCACTCATTCGCGTGTGCTCAAACACATCTCCTCCCCACCCGCTTCGGTACAGGCGATATGCGACAACAGGGCAACCATACCGCCGCGTAGCGTACGCGTCAAACACGCGCGGGGTATAGGCAACTCTCTGGGCAATGCCAGCGCCACCATCCTGTCCTTTCCGTGTACTCTGGAGGGGTGCAATGAGCGGTTCAGCACCCCCTCAAATGTCCTGGACCACGTCAAGACACACACCGAACACGACATTACAAGTGGTGGGGTGAGTGGGATGGGCTCGAACGGTAGTGAGTTAGCGAGACCGGATACGGCCGGGGTGGCTAGTGCCAATGGGGGGCAGGAGCCTGGGGGTACTACTGCGATGTCGGCTGAGGCCAAGTTGGGTGCACAGGATGGCATGGAGTCCTCTAAGGACACCCGGGACACGGGAAATGGGACCGATGTGGCCACGGCAACGGGCGGTCTGGGTGAGCAGTACCCGGAGATACACCTGCTGAGAATTGCCCAGGTGTCAGCTGCACCCGCCCCCCACGCGCCAGGACGGGACCACAACCAACAACCGCAGCAACCGCAGCAACAACAACAACAACAACAACAACAACAACAACAACAACAACAACAACAGCAACAACAACAACACGCACAGGCTCTCCCACAGCCAGGCAGTTACATGGACGCACTCAGCGCCCCCCCGGCCATGCCGGTAGGCGTAATGGGGCATGGCATACTGGGTGGTGTCGTGAGCGACCCTGCTAAGGGCTCCATGGCCAACGGGGTACCGGGCGTGGCCACGTTACAACAGATGAGCAACAACACGCTGCAGCAGATGAATGACGGGCAGGACCCTCTTGCAGCGAAGCACAACCAACACAGTCGCGGGAGCTCAGACTCACAACTGGACACGGCGCAGGCAGCCAACTCACTGGCGACCCTGAATATGAGCACAGCACACCTGAGTAATAATAACAACAACATCAATAGTATTAATATGATTAACAACAACAACAACCACAACATGAACAACAACAACACCAACCCCATCATCAACAACACCAACGGCAACGGCAGCAACAACAACAACACGACTACTACCATGACCCTCACCCATGTCAACCCGGACAGGCAGATGAAGGTGTTCAGCGAGCATTCCATCAACTATCCCTGCGTGTTCAAGGGGTGCACGGCCAGTTTCAGTCGGGGCACCTCTCTAGCTAACCACGCCAAGACACACACGGCAGAGCACAAGTTCTTCTGCACGCGCAAGGAGTGCGGCAAGAAGTTCATGAGTGAAGGGTACCTGGCGCGGCATATGCGCATACACGCACGCAAGGACTTAGAGGCCGCGGGGGTGGCTATGCCTGGTACGCATCCAGGCACGGGCGGAACCGCCGGAGATGTGCTGATGCTTGAAAGGGGTAGTGGTGCGGCGACTGTTGCTGGGGATGCAGGTACTGGAGAGGGCGGGGTAGGGGGTGCGGGTAAGCCAATGGGGACCACAGGTACGGCGCAGCCAGTCAAGAGGAAAGCACAGGACCAGGGGGGCACTGCAAAGACTATCAAGCCGGACGCTACCGGTATGTTGGGCCTTGAGTGTAGAGTTGTGCATGAAAGTATGTGTTGGTGTATAGTAATAATATATATATACACACACACACACACACACACACATATATATATAAATATATATTCAAAAACATTTTACAATTTTGAAGATGTTTCAAATCCCAAACTATATATAGAACCACGTGGCCGTTGAAACGGGTGTGGGAGTATCGACACACATACACACTATGGTGCCAAGGCGATATGCAATCATCTAAATATAGCACATTCTGGCTATAAATAAAACACACCATCATCCAAATATAGTACACTCCGGCTATAATCGAACACACCACCCTCAACATATTGTCACAGGCAACTCGCCCACAGGCAGGCTGCTAGGCACCCTGCACCCCACACCCACAGACACGTACAGTACATTGTTTTAGGGTTTAGGGTTTTACGGCACCCACAGACACGTACAGTACATTGTGCATACCCCCACATGGCCCTGGTCGCACGCATACATGATGGAGGTGAAGCCATCCTTGTTCTTAGCATTGGGATTGGCTCCCCATTGCGTGAACATATGCACCAGCTCAACATGACCTTTGTACACAGCTGCGGGCAGGTGGATAGAGAGAGCGTCAGTATATATATATAATTCCATATATAATATATATACATACAATATACCTACAATATGCATACATACATACACACACACACACACACACACACACACATACACATAAATATAAATATATATACATACAATA